ACAGAGCCCTGCTCAGGAGGCTGCTCGGAAGGCCACCCGCCCTCTGAGCCTTCCGAGGAAGCCCGCCCCCTCTCTGGCGTCTGCCCTGGGCGTGCCGCTGATGTGCAAAGGCACCCGCCGCATCGAGATGCTACTGCGACGATGAAAATTCAGCGAGGACGTCCTGCAAGCGCGATTCATCATTAAGGACTACCCACTGGACCAACCCAACCCAACCCGAAGACCCGACTCTCGCCCGCATTTCGGGTCGGGGGTTGCGGGCTTCGTATGTGTTTTTTCAATGCTCCCCGACGCCCCCCCCCACTGGAAATGGAGAAATGGAGGGCAGATCGGAGCCTTCGGGTTGGATTGGGGTGGTTTGGTGGGCGGTGACTGCTCACGTCCCTGTACAGATGACACCACCGTGCCTGGCCAGGGCCCTTACCCAGGCCCTGAAATTGGTGCACGCGCCCCCTGGCCGCCGAGGCCAGGGGTCCGCACGGCAGCCTCGTGCCGCGACGATGCCAGCGCTGGCGCTGGCTCCCGACACCGCGCGGTCCGCGCACTCCCCGGAGCGACAGCGGCTTGCCGTTGGCGCCGATCGCTCGGTCGACTCTCGGCCACCGTCAGCCTTCGACCCGGAGCGCCCGCGCCGGGGTCGCCGCCGCGTCGGCACGGCGCGATCCTGCCGCAGACCATCGCGGGGCATCCTACTCCTCCTCCTCCTCCTCTTCCTCCTCCTCCACCTCCTCCTCCCCCTCCTCCTCCTCCTCCTCCTCCTCCTCCTCCTCCACCTCCTCTTCCTCCTCCTCCTCCTCCTCCTCCTACTCGTCCTCCTCCTCCTCCTCGTCCTCCACCACCGTCCCCCCTCCAATTTATGGTGGCGGTGGTGGAAAACAGGCCCATCAGCCTTCCTACTTCCAGAGTCCATGCACTTCTGCTGTGCTCTGTTGCTCTCTGGGAGGGCCAGAGTCGCCCCGCTGACGGCCACGGGCCCAGCAGGGGCCCCCGAGAGCCAAGAAAAGTGCTGGAGGCCTTCCGTGGTGTTCTTGTGCCTCGCGGCTCGAGAGGAAGGCCGGCGATGGAAGCGCCGGATGGTCGAGACGCGATGCGGGAGACAGCAGCTCAGGCAAGGCGGGCGGCCGGAGGTCTCCAGAATCAGGAGCAGCTCCTGGGAGATCTTCGTGAGAACGATTGAGGGCTACGGAACCAGATCAAGTAGGGGGCCATGGAACCAAATTAGCCTAGGTCATGCGGGACGAAACTGAATCCAACGGGATTATGACGGATCTGGCCGGTTTACTAGCACGGATATACCAGCGCCGGTGCTGTACTGAACCCCTCAGGAGTTGCGTCCTAACCTGAGGTCTCAAGAGGTCCCCGGAGAGGTGCGGTGTCGCAGGCTGCGAGCAACCTGTAAACCTCCACGCAGAACGCGCGGATCGGCGCGGCTGCACGCTCGCGTCTTCGCATCTGCGCGCTCGTTGCAAATCCCGGGAAGTTCCTGGAAGTCCCCGGAGAGCTTCTCGACCCTCGACCTCCTCCTTCCAAACCTTCCGCGCAGCGGATGCCGCCGCGTCGCGGCTGCCCCGCCGAGACCGCCGCTGCGGCCTCGACGGTGGCCGCCGCTGTGACCGCGCCAGGGGCGGCCGCTGCGCGGCATCTGCGTCCCCGAGTACGCGGAAGGCGGAGGTCGAGAGGAGGTGCCACTCTTAGGGGGCCACATGCGGACCCTGCCCCTACCCCCCCCGATTTCTGAGGGGGAGGGTGGGGTTCAGTTCGCTCGGGAGCTCCCGAACGAACCACACCCTCCCCCTCAGAAATCGTGGGGGGTAGGGGTAGGGTTCGCATGTGTCCCCCGAACTCTCTCGAGGCCTTCAGGGGCCCTAGGAGATCCCAGAGGGGGTAAGAAGCGCCCAGTTGGGCGGCCCCAGGCCCCAGGGACGGCCCCCAGAGAGGCCGAGAGAGACGCGACAACGAGGCTCCTCTAGGTAAATATTCGTGACGCCCAGATCTGAGGGACATGCCCGAGCTGTGCGTCGCCATGTGTTTCACACCGGGCGCTCTCGCACTGGTTCGGGCCCCGGGGCCCTCACGGTTCGATCCAGCCCGAGAAACGCCGCAGAAAGATTGGGTCTAGGGCTCCAGTCGTGCCTTCTGCCGATGTCACGATGTGTTCGTGGCGCCTAGGTCTGAGGGTGGTCCTCCCCCGACACACGAACGTCAACATTTATCACAACGTGGCTCCCCAGAGGTCCGGATCGGACCCCTTCCGTGAATCGTTTGTTGGCGGTCCTGCGCTCTGGCAAGGGCCCCCGAAGGCCGACGAGTGGCAAAAACCTTCCGTCGTGGTGTTGCCCCGACGCGAGGACGCCAGGGTTGAGCGTCGACCCAGTCGGGCCCCTTTCAGTGAGGAGGCAGTCGCGGGGTCGCGCCAGTCTCGGCGGAGGGCGGTACATCTTGAGAGAACACCGCAGCCGAGGTCTGAGAAGGATTGGGAGAGGAAGGGAAAGAGTGGAAGGGGGGAAGGGGGTGACCCAGACATCAAGCGCCTCGGGGCCGGTTTCGGGTCTCGGGGCCGTCGAAAAAAAACAACGCGGCAAAAAAATTGACAGGTGGGGGTCCCTCTCCGTCCACCGATTCCTCCCTCCTCCTCCCCCCATTCCCACTCTTCCTACTCCTCCTTTCTCTTTCTCCTCTTCTTCCCTCCCCTTCCCGTCCCTCCTCCCCCGTTTCCCCCCTTATCCTCCTCGACCTGCACCTTCTCCCTCCCATTCCTCCCCTCCGCTCTTCCGCTTCATCTGTCCTGATCCAAGGGGGGATTTTGCAGAGGAGGAGGAGGAGGAGGAGGAGGAGAAAGAGGAGTGCCACAAGGAGGATTTTGCAAGGAGGAAAGCTTCCTCTCTCCCAACCCTGGAAGTGAGCGGGCCTGCCGCGACGGGCGCGCCATCATCTGGCGGAACACGGGAAGCCCCTCGGACGCGACGTGCCATCCCAGCTGCGACGGAGACCGCACAACCCACTGACTACCTACCAGACCCCCTAACCCAACCCGAAGACCCGAATCTCGCGTTTGGGGGGGGGCATGGTCTCGTTATGTGTTTTTTCGATGTTCCCCGACCCTCCCCCCACACTGGAAATGGAGGGCAAATTGAGGCCTTCGGGTTGGGTTGGGGTGGTTTGGTGGGTTGTGACCCACGATCTGGCGATCGCTTCACCAGCCGGCCTCTCGGCTGAGGTCGCACCCTCTCTGCTAAGGCTACTGGAGAAACCAAAAGGCACCGATGCCACTCCGCTCCTCCTCGGACCTCTCCCCGGGTGAGTTCGGACCAGAATTTCGAGGCGAATCCAGCCGTGGCGACGAGGGCCTCCCAGGAGGCCGAAAAAGGGGAAAATGGGCGACGGGTAGCGGTATGGGTACCTCTCACTCCTCTGAACACCATGCCCCGATGTACACGGGCGGGCTCCCTGGCAGAGCGCGCACGACTCCGGCACTCGTCTCGTCGCCTCGTCGCCTCGTCTCGTCGCCTCGTCGCCTCCCGCGCGCGCCCCGCTGCGGCAGCAGCCGCACGCCGGCCGGCGACAACCCCGAGCATCCGATGCCTTAAGTTTTCCACACGGGGTCCCCTAAAACGAAGGTAGAATCGAGACAAAATCGGACCGATAGAGGGGACTCAAAATGACATACTAGTACTACGCGTCCTCCTCGGAGGCGTGCGTCCGACCCGAAGATGTCGTACTTGCATCTTGTAGTAGTTACATCGTTTCCCGAGCGTCGCGGCCAGAAAGCGCCCGCCACGGAGCTTATACTATGAGATTTCTCGACGCGGGCGTCGCCCCTTCGGGGACGACGCACAGATAGTATTAACATGTTTGGGCGACGCCGAATCAAGATCGAAAATCGGTGGGCTTCTGCACGGTGTATCGGGCGCCGAGGTCGTTTCCGAGTGTTCCGGGGCGCTCCGAGAGCGTGAACGAACTCTGGAACGGATTGATCCTCGTGCTAGCTTTAGGTCGGGCGTGTCCTCCTACAGGGGGATATTGGACGACAAACAAAAAATATCAAAAAAAAAAATGCAAAAAAAAGTCCTCGAAAATGACCAAAAATCGTGCCCCAGACTATTTGTTTACTATTTTCCTATTTTCCTCTGTAGAAGGACAGGCCCGACGTAATCGTAGTTCCGCCCGAACACGGGGACCCCAGAAGTCCCGACCCCTTCCCAGGCGGCTGGTTCTGCGTCGCAGGCCGTGGTTTTTGACGGTCCCTGGGCTCGGCGAGGGCCCCCAGAGCACGAAAACGTCCCAAGACCTCCCTAGGGGGCCACATGCGAACCCTACCCCTACCCCTACCCCCCACGATTTCTGAAGGGGTGGGATGGGGTTCACTTCGCTCGAGAGCGAAGTGAACCCCACCCCACCCCTTCAGAAATCGTGGGGGGGAGAGGTTGGGTTCGCATGTGGCCCCCTACTCCCGTCGCGATTCCTTCACGACGCGATGAGGTCTGGTCTGGACGCTCCCCGAAGACGCAGAAAACCTCAAAGGCGCGAGAGCTTCTGAGAAGCCCCGCAGGCTTCTGAGAAGGCCATCTCCTTCTCGCTTCCCCCCCTCGCTCGCCGCCGAACCCGGAGTCCAATCAACACCCATAGTAAGAATGCAAGGTAAGGGGGCAAGACCCTTGGAAGTCCTGGTTACCAGTTAGAGCTCCTGGGACGTCAACCGTGGCTCAGGACGGGCCGAAGAAGCAGTGATGCGAGGGCAGCCTGGATGAAGCAGCGCATCGCTGCTGTGGAGTTTGACTGTATGACTTTTTCCACTCGGGCGTTCTTCCCCAGTGTCGGCCTCAGGGGCCCTTTTCGCTCGGGCGTTCTTCCCCAGTGTCGGCCTCATCGGGCCCCAGGACCATCAGAGACGGATCCAGGACGTAACAAAAAAACCGGAGAAGGGGTCGGGACCTACGTGGGGCCGCTCACGACTTGAACTTTAGAAAGCAAGCAGGAGGATGTCCGGGGGCCGGGCGGGCCTCGCGCGAGATGATAATCTTGCGGGCACACAGCAGCTGGAACAGCCCGTCCGCCATCATGTCGATGTCGCGGGGCCTCCCCCCCACCGATGAGGGGGAGCGTCAGGGGGAAACCAGCTCAGGGGGGACCGGCCCTGAGGGGCAACGATAGGAGGGGACTGGCTCAGGGCGGGGGCGTTGGGCTGGAATCGGCGATGGGCCGAGCTTGCAAATCCGCACAGTCCCGAGCGGGGTGAGCTACTGGGCCCCATTCGGCGATGAGTGGGCGAGTGGGGGGTCGATGCACCCCCCCCCTGAGCATGACCCCTCCCTCCCCAGACGTTGCCCCTGGCCCCCCCCCCCCTCACCGAGACCGCGGCGGTGCCTTGTTTTCCCGGCGTCGTGGGCGAAATGCGGTGGGCCAGCCTCGCATCGACTGCGGGCCGTGCCGGGGCCTCGCATGCGGAGACCATGGAGGCCCCAGGATGGCCCCGAGAGGCTCCCCCTTCCTCGTCCTGCTCCTCCTGCCCCCCGCCGCCACCCCGTGCAAGAGCCAGGGCACGCGTCCCACCTGTCTCCGCCGTTCGGCCTCGTCGTCGCTCCTCATCCTTCCTGGCCTCCCCCCTGACCCCACCCCGGCCTCCCACGGGGCTCCTTCGCCCCTGGTCTCGCGATCCGCACCTCTCCCGCAGAGATCTGACGCACCGATGCCCCGACCCTCTCCCCCGGGGCGCCCTCGGTCCTCTCCCGACGGCCCCGGGGCCCCGCGAGGGCCCCCCGAGGCCGAGCACGGCGAGAAACCTCCGCGGCAATCGTCGTCAGCACGCTGGAGGCCTGGTTCTCTGGGGGGGGAGCAGGAGCAGAGGGGGGGAGCGGACATCCCGCCTACCACACAACGACGTGGATCATGCGCGGGCCGTCGACCTCGCCCTCGAGAGCGCGGAGCCACAGCTCGGGCCTGCAGCGGCAGCTCGGGATGATTCGGGTACGCCCAGAACGCCTTCGGCGAGGCGCGCGCGGCTGCTGGCAACCATGCCGAGGCGAGAAAACCTCTAAGAGCCCGCGAGGCCTGAGAACCAGTGAAGACCAACCTCCGTGCAGCAGCCGGTCTGGGGGTCCTCTTGGAACCCTTTTGTGGCCCGTGCGGGCCCTCTCTGGGTGAGCTGGAAGCCTTCATTGGGCCAGCTGAGGCTCTCTTGGAACCATCTGGAAGCCCTCCTCCAGGGACATCCTGAGGGGGGGGGGGGGGGGCACGCCCCCCCTCCAAGTCGGGGAGGCAGCCGACCAGCTGTGGACACGTCAACCGCTTGACTCGCAGAGTCTTCCCAAGAGCGAAGCGGCGAAGCCAGGAGCGCAATGTGGCTACAGTCAAAAAGCTTGCGGCAGGGAGGCGCGGTAAGGATGCAGGCCACGTGGGCGCGCACGTCGAAGCTTTTTGTCGAGAGGGGCTGGTCGTCCAAAGGGGTCCAGGACGGACCGAGGAGGCACGGATGCAAGGGTACCCCTGGGAACGTTACCCGTCCTTACCATCGGCTTTGGCTGTAAACGGGAGTTGGTGGAAAAAGGAACGACATACACATCACCTTTCTGAGGTCCGCGCGCGTACGTAGTCTGTCTCTCTGTCTGTCTCTCTGCCTCTCTCCTTGTCTGTCTCTCTGTCCCTCTCTCTGTCTGTCTGTCTGCGCCGTGGTGGTGCACCGCCCCCTCGCGGACCGCGCACGTGTGTGTCGTGGTCCGCGGCCCGACCTGCAGTCCGTCGTGATTCAGCCTCGGCCACCGGTGGCCAGCACGGGCCACCTGGGAAGAAGTGCCAAAAAACGAACGATGCGCTGATGATGAATATTGCCATCTTCCCCACAGAGAGAAAGGGGACACCACTTTGCTAAGCACCAGCCACGAGGGATAAGGAAGAGAACCTTTGTCCAGACGTGGGGTTATCTGGAACCTCTTGGGGCTGACCAGCAAAGAAGAAGAACAGAACTGTCGTGAACATCAACTTGCGAGGGCCCGCGCGAATGTCTCGGATCGGCGCTGGACCCCCCCCCCCTAGCGCGCGGAGCGCGCCCCAGGGGCGGCGCCGGAGGCGCCGCCGTGGGGCTCCAGCGCCGACCCGAGACGTCCGCGCGGGCCTCCGAGAGTTTGTGCTCGTGCCATGTTCTCGGCTCCCTGCGGACCACCCACCAGGCCACCCCCGCCCAGCCCGAAGACCCGAATTTCGGGTTGGGGGGGGGTATGGGCTCCATCTGTATTTGTTTCGATGCTCCCCGAACCCCCCCCCCCACACTGGAAATGGAACGCAGATGGAGGCCTTCGGGTTGGGTTGGTGGGTGGTTTGGTGGGTGGTGGCCTGCGGAAGGCTGCGTGCATCCTCACCGTCGGCTCCGACTGCAGCTGCCGAGGGCCCGAGGAGCCTCCCCGCGCGCGGGGCCGCGCCACCAGGACCACCCAAGTGTGATTAAAAAACTGTGATAAAAAACTCAGAACAAGTGTGATGAAAAAAACAAGTGTGATAGAAAACTGTGATAAAAACTAACACGTGTGATGAAAAACAAGTGTGATAAAAAAAAACTGTAATAAAAAACAAGTGTGGCAACAAAAGTGTGATTGATACCATATATCGTGTTTTGTCACACCTGTGCTTTTCTATCACACTTGGTTTATCACACTTGAGTTTATCACACTTGTTGTTTCATCACAATGCTTTATCACACTTGTTTTTTTTCACATTTGTTCGAGGCTCCTTCTGGAGGAGCCTCTGAGGGGGGAGGCGCCCGGAAGAAGAGGAGGCCCTCCTGGCGGCGAGGGGAGGCCCTCCTCGGTGTCCCGGGGGGCGGAGGCACTGGGGCCCTGGTGGAGCAGGTGCCCGCGCAGGGTGCACGAGAGCAGCACCCCGTGGTGTCCGTTTTCTGTTTCGGCGTTTGTCGACATTGGCCGGAAGGGTGTCGGATGTTGCTAGAAGTGCCCCTGGCCCAAGGTGCCCCCAGGATTTCCAAGGAGGCCCACACGGCCTCCAGAGCACCCCTCGCGAGGCCCAGAGGGCCCCAGGGCCTCCGAAATGAACCGAAAAGCTGGGGGCACCTTGGGCCAGGGATACCTCTAGTAACCCCCGAGGGTGGGAGGGGGAGGGGGGGAGGGTCTGGCTCCAAACCGCTGCCTAATCCGACCGTTTGCAACCGTGCGTCACCTGCCTGCAACAGGCGCCACAAACAGCCAAGACCTGTTCCACGCGGGGGGGGGGAGGGGGGGGTGCGAGGGCCCGCGCCGATCGGCACAACAACGAACAAGAAAGCGATCACATGCACCGTGCCATGTCTGGACTCCCGTCAAGCCCCGCTCCAGTTGCGGTGCGGTGCACAAGTGGTGCGGCTCATGCGGGGCCAAAAGACTTCTATACACCCAGCCAGTCCTGGGTCGAGGATCGACGACGCCTGCGGAGACGCCAGCGCGATGCGGTGCACACAAGTCGTCCGCGGAATTCTGGCGGCGCGCACAATGGGGTAGAGGGAAAGCCTCTTCGAAGGAGGCTGCTTCTTCGAAGGCGCCGGCCTTGCATCTGTAGAGAAGGCCCGACATTATCAAAGCCCAACCACAACGATCTTTAGAACGGAATGGATGGCACTCACAACGAAAAACGAAACGAAACGCGACGTTTGAAACGAACGTATAAAACGAAACCAATGCCAAACGAAACGGCAAACCAAACGAGGCGTTTAAGACAAAAGAGACAACGCGTTTCACGGGCGCTCGCTTTGGGAACATTCGGCGGCGCGTTTCGAGCCGGGGGGGGGGCGGCCCCCCCCTCACACTCGGCGCCGTCGATCAAAACCACGGGGACTCCCCTCCCTCCCAAGCCCCCCCCCTCCCGAACCCCCCCCTCTGCCACGGGGTGGGGGGGGTCAAACCCCCTCGGCGCCGGCGCTGGCGCTGGCGGTCGCCAGAAGCGCCGACGGCGGGGACGCAGCCACGATCACCAGAGCCAGCCCAAGGGAGGGGGGGGTGAGGGTTGAAACCCCCCCTCCCCCGCCCCCCCTAGCGCGCGGGGGGGGTTGAATCCCCCCCCTCCTGGCGCCGGCGCCGGCGCTGGCAGCGGCCAGCAGCGCCGGCGCTGGCGCCGGCAGCGGCGGGAACGCAGCGACGATTACCACCACTACAACCACCACCACTACCACCACCACCGCCGCGTCAACCCACCACCACCACCACCAACCCACCACACAACCACCACCACCAGCCACCCCCACCACCACAACCACCACCACCACACAACTCACCATCACAACCACCACCACCACCACAAAAAAAAAAAAAACACAACCACCACCACCACTATCTACCACACCACCTCCACCACCGCCACAAACACCACCACTACCAGCAGAAAAACCCACCGCCACCACCACAAACCAACCACACCACCACCACCACCACCGCCACCACCGCCACCACCACCAGCACCAGCACCACGAACCACAACCACCGCCACCACCACAACTCACCACCACCACCACCACCACCACCACCGCAAACCACCACCACACCACCACCACACCCACCACAAACACCACCACCACCACCACAACTCACCATCACCACCACCACAAAAACACACCACCACTACCACCACCACCACCACCACAATCTACCACAACACCACCACGGCCACCGCCACAACCACCACTACTACCAGCAGCACAACCCACCACCACCACCACCAAAAAACACCACACCACCACCATCACCACCGCCACCACTACCACCACCAGCACCATCTCCACAAACCACCGCAAAAACCACAACCCACCACCACCACCACAAACCACCACCACACCACCACCAAACCACCACCACAACAACCCACCACTTCCACCACCACCACCACAAACCACCACCACACCACCACGAAACCACGACCACCACCACCACCACCCACCACCACAACCACCACCACCACAACAAACTACCACACCACCACCACCACCACCACCACCACCACCACCACAACAGCCACCACAACAGCCACCACCGCCACCACCACCACCACCAGCACAACCTCCACGAACCACCGCCACCACCACAACCCACCACCAACACCACCACCACCACAAGCCACCACCACACCACCACCAAACCACCACCACCACCGCCACAACCCACCACTTCCACCACCACCACCACAAACCACCACCAAACCACGACCACCACCACCACCCACCACCACAACCACCACCACCACAACAAACCACCACACCACCACCACCACAACCACCACCACCGCCACCACCACCACCACAACCACCACCACCACCACCACCGTCCTCGTCGACGCGCCCCGCCGCAGGCCGACCGCCGCCGCAGGCGCCGGCGCCGGCCCAGAAAAGGAAATCGTCGTCCCCGCCGCCGCCGCCGCCAGCCGCCGCCGACGCAAGCGCTGGCCCGAGGAGAGGGGAAGCAGGGGAGGGAAGGGGGGGGGTGTTCGACCCCCCCAACTCCAAGCGACCACAGGACGCGCTCTTTCAGACAAAAGCGAACAACGAAACAAAGCACCAACGAAGAACGGAACGAAAAACACAACAAAGGCCCAAATCAAGCTAAACAGCATTGTGGTCGTCGATACTTGCTGGGGAAACTCCAGCGAGAGAGCCCTGTATTGAAAAGAGACCGCCCTGCGTCCCTGTAACTGCTAGAAGCCCGTTGAGGCCAGTGCGCGGCGCCAGGCCGAGGGGCACAAGTTGAAAACGGCCAGCCCTACACCACTGTAGTTTTTGGAAGCGTTTAAGACGAGTGCGCGCGGCGATAAGGCGAGGGCCAAATTCTGAAAAAGGTCTGCCCCCCATTGGAATATTGTAGGACGAATGCGCGCGGCGCTTAGGCGAGTGCCACGTTTCTGGTGTCCCAAATCATTTAAGCTGTTGGCCCGACAAGGAGTTCGATCAGGCAAAGGGATGGAGTAGGAGGAGGAGGAGGAGGAGGAGGAGGAGGAGGAGGAGGAGGAGGAGGAGGGAGGGAGGAGGAGGAACAAGAAGAAAAAGAAGAAGAAGCAGAAGAAGAAGAAGAGGGAGGAGGAGGAGGCGAAGGCGGAGGGAGGAGGAAGAGGAGGCGGAGGAGGAGGGGGAGGAGGACGAGGAGGGAGGAGGAGCAGAAGGAGGGACTGAGTGGGGTAGCAGGAGGAGCAGGAAAAGAATCGAGAAGGAGGGAGATGGGGAGGAGGATCGAGACCGAGAGTTCGAGGGATCGAGGATTGAGAACCGAAGCGTTCCTGTGCCTCGCCCCTTAGAGCGTTCTCGGCAGCCCCTTGGGAGGCTCTCCAGCCTCGGGGTGCTTCCCAGCGGCTGCACCTCGCCGAGAGATCCCTTCGGGTCCCCAAAACCGTGAGGGGATGAAAAAACATCGACCAATACTCAGGGATGCGTCGCAGAGGCCCCTGGTAGCGAGAGCGCACGGCAATTGGGCGCGGTGAGCCATCGCGCCCTATCGGCGATCAATGGGCGACTGGGGGACGAGGCATCCCCCCTCAGCCTATCTGATTACCTACCAGACCACCCCAACCCAACCCGAAGACCCGAATTTGACCTGAACTTCGGTTTGGGGGGGGTACGGGTCCCATGTGTTTTTTCAATGTTCCCCGACCCCCCCACTGGAAATGGAGGGCAAATGACTATCCACCCCAACGTTTCCCCTTCGGGGGTGATCTGTAATTTTCGGGCCATGACTCAAGCCTCTAACGGCCGCTCGGGACGATCCGGGCACCCCCAGAACGCCCTCGGCGAGGCGCGGCCGCTGGAAGGCGTCCCGAGGCCATCAAAAAACGCCGAGAGCCGACGAAAGCGTCCGAAGACCTCGAACGTCGATTGCGAAAAAGGCGTCCCACCCTGACCCTATCCTCCCCGTAACTAGGGACCACATGCGAGCCCTACCCCTACCCCCACGATTTCTGAGGGGGAGGGTGGGGCTCACTTCGCTCGGGAGCTCCCGAACGAAGTGAACCCCACCCTCCCCCTCCGAAATCGTGGGGGTAGGGTTCGCATGTGGCCCTCCAGTAACCTTGCCCCAGATTACCCCAGAAGCCCCCCATCCCTCGCGGCGGCCCCCCAGCGGCGGCCTGCGCATCACGAACTTCGGGATGAGGCGCCCCGACATGTACATGGGGTTCAACCGTGAGACCGCGGTCGGCTGGCGGGCGCGAAGAGGACGGAGGAGTGAGGAGGGAGGAGGGAGGGAGGGAGGGAGAGGAGGGCCAGGAGGAGGAGAAGGGAGGAGGGAGGAGCAAGTACGAGGAGAAAAGAGGAGGTGGAGGAAGAGGAGAAAACGGAGGAGGAAGAGGAGGAGGGGGAAAAAGAGAAAAAGGACTTCGGCAACGGCTACGAAGGCACCACCAAATCCAACGAGCTGAGGGCAAGGGTTTTAGGGGGGCGACACAAACCTGGCGACAGCGCCCCCGCGCACAGAGCAGAAGGCCTTTCACGAAGTCGGCCCCCCGTCCACCCACTCCCGCCTCGGCCAGCCGAGGCAGTCGGAGGACCTCGGAGGGCGCGGCGGCACTACGACCCTCTGGGGCGTCTCTCTGCCCTGCGCGCGGAGGGACCCCCCCCCTCCCCTCCCAGCTTGCGAGCCTCTCTGCTTCCCGAGCGCGGACGAAGGGCCTCCGACAACACGGCGGCTCAAAACACAACAGAGCCTCCCTCAGAAGTGTGGCGGCCCTGCAAAATCAGAGCGTGGTGCCCCTCACGGCCGGAGGCACTGTACCCCAGGCAATATGACGCGAGCGGGGTTTCCCCGCCATCCCTGAGATCCGACGTTGCAGTAAAAATGCAACTTCGCAAAAAATCACGCCCGGAGCCCCAGAACCCATCTTTCTGCGTCATTTTTCGAGCCGGATCGATCTGTGAGGGCCCCGCCCGTTGTGAAAAAATGCAACGCCAGGATCTCAGGGATGCCCCCCAATGGCACAGACAAATCCTCTGGTGGTGCGAGGACCGGGGAGCCCTGGGCTCGCCCCGCTGGGTCCGACACTTCGGCCTCCCGGAGCGCGCGCTCTCCGGCAGGCCAGACACGGCAGGTCGGGCCGCCGAACCCGCGGAGCCTCTTCCTCGGGCCCGCGGGCCCCGACCCTCTCTCTCTCTCTCTCTCTCTCTCATGGCGGTCGAAGGGAGCTCCTGCAGCCATGCGCACCGTTCCTGCCCCTCCCACCCGGCAAGGACCTCGGCAGGGGGGGGCTCATTGGGGGAAGAGGGGGGAGAAGAGAAGACGAGGCGAGAGCGGGGCCCCGATCCGATCCCCCTCCTCGCCCCCCGCCTGGGCCCCGCTGCCAACGGAGGAAGAGGGGAGCGAGCGAGCGGGCGCAAGCGCGGGTCGGTGACCAGCGCCAGGCTCTGGAGAAGGGAGGAGGCAGGAGGAGGGCCAGCAAACGCGCCGGCCCTGCCGCTGGGGAGGGCATCCCCACGAGGACGCCCAGGCCTAGACGCCGCGCCAGGAGGAGGAGGGACGTTGGAGCCAAGGCCAATCTGAACACACCTGAAGCCTATCGAGGCTGACATGATCGAAGAGCTGGCCGCCCCCAATCCGAGCCTCCTGCTGGGCCGAACACTCACACAACATATGGGGGAGCCCAAGACATCCTCCGACAACGAGCCTGTGAGCCCCAGGGGTCCGACCAAGCGCGGCACCTTGCTTAGCGTACTCGTCGGAAGCTTGATCCTCGAGAAACCCGAGCCGGCTGAGTTCCCCGTTTCCAGCGCATCCCAAGAAACGCACAGGACAAGCACTGTATGCCATGAAACACCTTATGCCAGCCCCCATGTAGATGTGAACCCCCGGGAAAACAACAGCATGGCGATCGAGGAGCACGAGGGCAAAATCCCCACCATCCCGAGCCACCTGCGAGGAAGCATCTGCAACAGACACTCGCCCACAGATCGCACGATCAACATTAACTAACACGTCTGTCACACTCACCGCCCGCCCCGCCGACCAAATCCTGGGCACCGATGGCTCGCTGCACGAGCCGCCAGGAAAAATGCGGGCCCCTGTCGCGAGAACAAGTCTGGTCGTTGGCCAGTTGCACACATGCACCGCGGCACCTGGAGACTCAACAGGGCGATCGATCCAACGAACGGAGCCGGGCAGGACACGCACGACGAACAACTCCTGAGCCCGAAGCGAAAGAATGCGCGCACGATCGGCCGCCTTCCGAAGCTCAGAGCACAAAACATCACGTCGCCCCAGTGAATCAGCTGGGCAATCAAGGCGGTAATGAAACCCGGTACCTCGGGCTGCCTGGCATTTCAGAAACAGAAAGATCTCCTGACAGGCATCGGCAAAAAAGATTCCGGCACCGAGAACTGCTTGCAATCACGCTCCGAAAGCAGCGGCGGCAGTGATCAGACCGCACCGACTAACGCGATATCAGACCCAAGGCCCGCTCGAGACACCTAAGGCCTCGCCGCTCACAGCCAAAATCACACTGCCCCGACCGCTCCCATCGCACGCCTCGCACGCTCGAGGGGCGAAGACGGCGGGAGAAATAAAACGAACGGCCACAGGGGCGACCCGCGCGGTCGATCAAGACCTCGCCGGAGAATCCCAACATCCAACCGATCCGAACAAGCGTCGAAACGCCAAGTTGTCTCGCGGACCCCAAGGCTCGAAAATGCGCACCTGGCAGAAGCAACCCTGAGGCCCCGAAAGCAGTTCCCAGGACCCAATACGCGCGCCCAACGTGGCCCTGGCGACTGGCCCAGGCCCCTGCCCCTGCGAAGCCCCCGCCCCCCCACCCACCCACCAGGGCCGAACCGCCGCGGTCGACGCGGCCAGGCAACGGTGATTTTGCGCGGGCACTTGACGCGCATCACCATCAGTAGCACCCAAACCGAGGTCGCCGCGGGCGCTGGCAAGGAAAGATCGCGTCGAGCGGCCACGCGGAAATCTCGAACATGGCCTCGATCAACTCAGGGCAAGAACAAAGAGGCACGTTTTCGCCGGGCCGGGCAGCAGCCCAAGCTCGCTGAAAACCCCATGCATTCACAACGCTGGCCGCCACCACCAACCGGCGCGACGCCGCGCGGAAGGAGCCCACCGCCATCGAATGGGCGCCGCCACTGGACAGCACCGCCATCGAATGGGCGCCGAGCCAGCGCGCCCAACGAGGGCCACGGTGGACCGCGCACGGGAAATTCGACAAATGCTCGTCGAACCCGCTGAAGCGGCCTGCAGCAAGCCGCGCTGCTCCATGCAGCACGTTCCCTCAGGGCTTGCTGGCGTCGCAGTAACGCGCGCCACTGACGGGGCCGCGGCGCTTCGCGCGCACCGCGCGAAGGCACCGCGCGAAGGCAACGGATATTGGCCGCGCAGCGGCGCCCGACCTGCCCCGGAATAGGCGTCGCCAACGCCGGCCCCCCACGCATGCACCTGGCGCCAGCGCCTGGACAAGACCCTCGGCCAGAGCGCCGTGATACCCAAGGAACCCGCGGCCCACCCCAGGCGGCGGCCCAGGAATGAAAGCGAACATCGTGACCCAGGGGTCGGGCAGAGCTGGGCACTCGAACTGCCCCATGATGGGCGCGAAACGACGGGCCGCGACGTCTCGCGAGATGACCCAGAAAACGGGGGCGCAAATTGCCCCGCCCAAATTCCCTGCTGCGCCCCAGCAAAAAGATGGCCGAGCGGCCCTGCAGAACACTTGCGGGGTCTGAGGTTAGAAGCGCCTGCCAGACACGCGCGGGGCCCCCATCAGCCCGCGACCCCTTGATCCACAGCGGCAGGCGCTCCCGCGCAGTAGCCCCCGCGGCCACGGGCCCGACATGCGACAGAGAGACCACGCCCATGCGCAGGGCCACGGGCCGCGACTCCACAGGCCCGGGGATGAGCTCGAAAAACTTGCGCGCCACCCTGCCAGAGACACGCGGCACCGAGCTGCCACAGCTGAGCGCGCGCAGCGGCGTCGAATCGCCTTCCCATCGCCAGCTCGATTTCAAGGCGGCCATCGAGCCGCGCAGGAGAAGCCGAGCCACTGGTCGACGACAATGACACGGGGCGCCTCGGATTCAAAGACGGCGGCAGGATCCACAACGTCGTCGGCTTGGACGCTTGGATGCGGCGTCGGGCCCGCACCGCCGGGCGCTCGCCATCCGATTCCTCGGCGGCCCGGCCACGGCGAAGTAGCGCCCCCCAAATGCGCGCGACGCCCCACCCAACCTCAGCGTCAATCGAGTCGCAGAGTCGCTGCTTCCGCCCCCGGTTCTGCATCAGCCGAAAGCCCCGCCCCCAACCCCGGCGATGACGAGCAGAGTCGCCCCATACCTGCTGAAAGCGGATCAAGGGCTGCTCAGCGAAGTCGGGCCTCTTGAAAAACGCCCTCTGCAGCCCCCCCAGCGGCGAGAGCAGCTCGGCCAGCCCCAGCTGCCGCTCTCGGGCGGGCTGTTCGGCGCCAATAGATTCAGCGGCACCCTGCGCCGCGGAGAAGGGCCGCCGAGGATCCCCAGCTACAACGCAAGATGCCACCAAATCCTGCCCGCCGAACAGCCGCACTGCACGCCTGATCGCGAGCACCCGCAGGCGCGCCAACAAGCACAAGGGGCGTCGACAGGTTGCATCCGAAAGCAACGCGAGGTTGTCAGCCGAAAAGCCGACTGGAGCGATGTGCACAGCGCACAGCGAAAATAACAACAGCGCCGAGCCCTCGCCTGAATGGACCTCCCCCGCCATAACGCGATGTCCCCAAGCCTCTGGCATCGAGATGCCGCCGAAGACGCCGGCGCGGGAAGCGGCGCAGAGGCCGACCCTTCCATCGAACGCTGGCCTTTCGAGCCCCAGTCGACGAGGAGGGCCTAATGCAAAATGGCTCTTGACGCAGCCGAACCTGGCACTCGCCGGGGCGATCTTGATCCGCGCAAGCACCGACTCTACAAACAACACACACACACAACCTAGAGCTGACTGTCTGAATGGCTCATGCCACCCCGTCTGACCCCCAAAAACCTACTGGCTCGGCGGGACCCCGCGCGGCCGTTGACCGAACTCCCCCGACCAGGCGGACTGACCAGTCGCCGCGGTCGTGCCCATGCGACCAAGCGGGCCAACGTGATCGGCGGTTGCGCCCCATTCACCAGGCGGGCCAACATGTAAAATGCGTTGCCAAGCTTTTTCACCTGGCGAGCCACCCTGTCGCGCCGCGGTCGCGCCCTTCTCACCAGGCGGGCCACCCTGTCGCGCCGTGGTCGGGCAACGTTCACCAGGAAAACCAGCCCGCGGAGGACGCGCGGCCGCGCCCGTCGCCAAGCGGGCCAGCCTGTTGAACAGCCCCTCGATGCCCAACACTTCCGAGCAAAGGTCGGAGCATCGCCGCGAGGATGTCTAGCTCTGTCCAGTGGTCGGGGGCGACTGCGCTCCACGCGTCCAACGCGAGAGACTGGAAGAACCTGAAGCCACGACGCCCATGACTTCTTCGGCCTCCTCTCCAAGGGTCGCGGCGACGAATGAAGGCCGCGCATCGGTCACGGTGGTCCCAAGATTAAGCAGCGCCCTGACGTACTTGTTGCACAACTCCTGCCATGAGTCCTCATCCTCTTGCCGCTCGCGGCGCACATTCCACATCCGGCGAGAGGCCCATGCGTCATGGTCGCGGTCAAACGCACAACGGCCGCGGTCAGGGCCAGGCGGGCCTTGTGAAAGATTTCTGGGAGATGGTCGTCCCATGTCCTGCGGGCTCGCGTCAAACAACAGTAGGTGTTAGCAGCCATCGCGAGAAACCCCAAACGCATGCAAAAATCTGGAAGCCGAAGAAACCCGATCACCATTGTCCATGCCGAGAAGCTTGGGTGAACTGGGCGTACCAACCTCGCACGCCTGGCTTATCGTCTGGACGCGGGAGTCCTCCTGTCACGATGGAACGTGCTTGTCCAAGGTCGGGCGCCGTACAATCAACCCGTATCATAAGAACGCACGGATGGATACAGGGGTTTGGGAAAGCCAAATCGACACTTTGCAGGTGGGGCGCGGCCAGCGAAAGCGGCCAAGGATGGGCCGAATGGGGAAGAATGCAAGAGTGGTCGTGGAAAAAAACCTCATCCTTAATATACGGGTTTACTGAAGCTGTTGGTTCTGGTGCAGGACCCGCCGCCGCCGCCGCAGGCGCGCCAACGGGGCCCGCCAGGGCCTGACCCACAAGCCCCGCGATCCCAACAAGGGCATGCGAAGAACACTGCAGCACCTGCTCACCGTGACCGCGAAACTGGAAAGGTCGGGCACCTGGGCGCCCAGCTGGTCGACACCTTGTTTGCAGAGAAGGCGAACCTTGTTCGAGTCCAGCTGCATCACGGGCGTGGGCCAAGGAAGCGGCGCGTCCAAGTGGAATGCCAGAACTGCCTCTTGCGTCGTCCGCTTTGCCACCTGCTCCTCGACACTTGCCTCGGATTCCTGAAGGGCCGACTCAGCGTCTGGAAGGCGTTTCCTGTACATGTCCTGTTGTTTCCTGGACGTTGCATGTTTCTGTGTTACATCCTCAACCTTATGCAGGAGGGATCCGATTGGCAGCCGCTGCGCCACAGGCTCGCACTCCAGCACGCGCTGCTCGATCTGCTACCATCCGCCCCGAAGATCCGGCTCGATCGCAGTCAAAACTGCGCCCTCCAAGGAGGCAGCTGCTGCAAGTTTCTTCTCGATGGCGGCCACTCGTTTCTTCACCTCGCACTCCAGGCCCGCGTCCTAAAGCGCGAGGCGGCGAGCGGTTTGCTGGGGGCTGCTGCGTTGCTGCTTTGAGTTCGGCCTCGAGGTGTTGGCGGCGCGCACAAGGGGACAGGGGGAGAGGGGGAGGCTGCTTAGAAAGAGGCTGCTTTCTCAGAAGGCGCCTGCCCTACGTCTACAGACAAGGCTCACACCTTCTAAGAAGCAGGGTGTTAGTAAGAATCCTTCCCCCTCACCCTGCCCCCTTCTGCGCGTGGTTTAAATGTTCATCGGCGCCCATATCGGCAATCCGTCATCCCAGGCTGGGGGCCTGCCGCTGCCACGGCGCTTGCAGTCGACGGAAACGCTAGCGCAGCATGGGTCCCCGAAGAAGACCGATTCCGCGAAGCCGCACGAGAAGCATGTCTTAACATGGGGAAAGCGGGTCCTCAGGAAAACGGGCTCTGGATCCTGGGACCTTTCCCCAGGCCGAGCTCTCCATCCCGAGTCGTCATCTGACAATTCCCCGGGCCCGCGGAGGGCCCCGAGAGCCCGAAAATTGACAGAAACCTCACGACTCGTTTCACTATGGACCCAGCTTAGCCCATGAAGCACTTCTCATTCTCCGAAGGCCAGGAGGAGGAGGAGGAGGAGGAGGAGGAAGAAGAAGAAGAGGAGGAGGAGGAGGAGGAGGAGGAGGGCAGGAGGGCAGGAAGGCAAGAACGAGGACGAGAAGGACGAGGAGGATGGAAACGAGGACGAGGACGAGGACGAGAAGGACGAGGAGGACGGAGGAGGACGAGGAGGGCAAGACGAAGAGGACGAGGAAGAGGAGGACGAGGCAGGATGAGCATGGAGGAGAGGGGTCCTGCAGGAAACGGGCCGTGGACCCTGGGCCTCTTCGCAGGGGCCGGCTCTTTCGTCCTGCGGCACCTAGGACCAGGAAGGCTCGAGGTCGAAATCCACGAAAAAACACTTCAGACACCATCGAAAACTACGAGACAGCACTGCTTCAGGACCCGGATGCTCCCAGACATCCGACAATGTGATTCTCGAATGCGCGGCCCACAAAGGTCCCGACCACGACTCCTCCCCTGGTTGGCAGTTTGTCGCCGCGGAGCCTTTTTTCGATTGCCACCGAGCCCGACAATAAGCTGCAAAGGCCAAAATACGAAAGAAAGTCCAGGATGTGAAAACTCCTCCACGATCTCTCCCCTCCTGACTGGATTGAAGGACAACGCTCGAAGAACAGACCAACACAGACCACGGCGAGCACGAAGCGAATCACGGCGAGAACGACGCAATCAAAAACAGCATGGCCAAAGAAAACCGGGGGCGAGCCCAGGGGGGAATGCAGAGGGGGCGGGCCTTCCCAGAAGGCTCGGAATGCCCTCGGCATCCTGAGAAGTCGTTCGGAGCCCTCTCGGCAGACAGCGCTGGTTCTCGGACCTTCCCCCTCTCACTGCTCCCCTGGACTGGCCGCCGACATATGGGCAGGGAATTGTCTTGGTCCGACTCGCGCTGAGCGAGCGTGACGCAGCAGGAAACCGCGCCCATAGCGCCGAGGCGCCATGCCCAGGTCAGGCCACCTGCACCGAATTAAGGGGGAAGGGAGGGGGAGGGGAGGACCCCCACGACCCGAACCAGCACACGGAAATGCGCGGCAGCGGGATGATGAAGGGGGCGTTGCCTCCACGAAGGTCATCAGCAACGCTCACCTCAGACCTGGAGGTGCCACTGACCACTCTGTTCACCCTAGCGGAGCGGGTGAGCCCATCTCGGCAGGGGGGCGCGGGGCGTCGCGCGCGGCGCGGCGGCGCTCCACGTGGAGGTCCATGTCGAGCTCCCCGTACCTGCGGGAGCGGCGACGGGAGGCGCCCAGCAGGGCAGCCAACCGCCCTGACCCTCATTATCATCTTCATCCTCCTCCTCCTCCTCCTCCTTCTCCTCCTCCTCCTCCTCCTCCTCCTCCTCCGCCTCCTTCCCCTCCTCATACTCATCCTCATCCTCATCCTCATCCCCATCATCATCATCATTATCATCATCATCATCATCATCATCAGCATCATCATCATCATCATCATCATCATCATCATCATCATCATCATCATCATCATCATCCTCCTCCTCCTCCTCCTCCTCCTCCTCCTCCTCCTCCTCCTCCTCCTCAGCAGCAGCAGCAGCAGCATCCTCATCATCATCATCATCATCATCATCATCATCATCATCATCATCATCATCATCATCATCGTCATCATCATCAGCATCAGCATCAGCATCATCATCATTATCCTCATCCTCATCCTCATCCTCATCCTCATCCTCATCATCATCATCATCATCATCATCATCATCATCGTCGTCGTCGTCGTCATCATCATCATCAACAGCATGGCACCATCAGTATCCCATGTTCATCATCAACATCATCATCAGCATCATCAGTATCGACATCATCATCATCATCATCATCATCATCATCATCATCCTCAAACTCGTCATCATGATCATCATCACCACCACCACCACCATCGCAATCATCAGCATCAGCATCATCATCAGCAGCAGCATGTTCAGCATCAGCATCATCATCAGCATCATCGACGTCATCATCATCAGCAGCATCATCACCAAAATCACCATCATCATCATCATCATCAACATCATCAGCATCAGCATCAGCATCATCATCAACATCATCATCGTCATCATCAGTATCACGATCATCATCATCATCATCATCATCAGCGTCATCCTAGTCATCATCAGCATCATCAGGATCAGCAGCAGCATCATCAGCATCATCGTCAGCATCATCATCATTATCATCAACGTCATCATCAGCATCATCACCATCGTCATCATCATCATCGTCGTCGTCGTCATCGTCGTCATCATCATAATCATCATCATCATCATCAGCATCATCATCATCAGCATCAGCATTATCATCATCAGCATCATCGTCATCGTCGTTGTCACTGCCAGCATCCTCATCATCCATCATCATCATCAGAATCATCGTCATCAGCAGCATCATCATCATCATTGTGATCGTCCTCATCTTCCTCATGATCCTCCTCATCCTCCTCATCATCACCATCATCGTCATCATCATCATGATCAGCAGCAGCAGCATCACCATCAGCAGCAGCATCACCATCATCGTCATCACCAGCAGCAGCAGCGGCAGCATAAACACAACAACCTCAATCATCACCAACATGGCCATCATCATCACAATCATCAGCATCAGCATCATCATCCTTATCATCATCATCCTCAGCATCATCATAGTCATAATCATCATTAACAACATCATCAGCATCATCATCAACAACAGTATCGTCAGAATCATCGTCGTCGTCACCATCATCATCATCATCAGCAGCATCATCTGCCGCAGCAGCAGCATCAGCATCATCACCAGCAGCAGCAGTAGCATCATCATCAGCAGCAGCAGCATCATCATCTTCATCATCAGCATCTTCTTAGTTTTCATCATCATCATCATCATCATCATCATCATCATCATCATCATCATCATCAAGCATCATCATCATCCATCATCATCACCATCATCATCATCAGCAGCATCACCATCATCATCATCAGCATCATCAGCATCATCATCAGCATCACCCCCCTCTCTCTATCTCGTCTTCGCCCTCCCCGTCCCCCTGCGTCTCCTCTTTGCGTTGCACGAACTTCGACAGTGTGAGCCGCAGCGTCTGCCCATTCCTCCTCCTACTGCATGGGCGCGGAGGTTTCCTTCGATTGTTTTGGACGTACCTGGCCCTCCTGGGGCCCCCACAAAACCTCTGGGGCCCCTGCGAACCTCGGGAGGCCTCTAGGGACCCTCAGAGGCCTTCAGGGCAGGCATGGCAAGGCGAGAGTAGGGCAGAGGCAGACTCGGGCAAAGACGTCTCGAGGCCCTCAGGAAACCGGCAGGCCTGGAGAGAAAGCATCGGGCGGCGCGGCCGTTCCTGAGCGCCCCGGAACGCTCCGAGGACGCCCCAGACAGCCTTCATTTGATGATGGGCCAATTTTCCACCACCACTACCATAGGTAGGATAGGGAGGAGGAGGAGGAGGAGGAGGAGGAGGAGGAGGAGGAGGAGGAGGAGGAGGAGGAGGAGGAGGAGGAGGAGGAGGAGGAGGAGGAGAGGGGGGAGGACCTCCCCATCCTCCCTTCTCCCACGTCCTACATATGGTAGTGGTGGTGGAAATTGTGCCCAACATTTGAGGGGGACGGGTGGGGGGGAGCAAGCTCGGGAGGAAGACATCGAGCTCGAGTCCGCGACGCATCGCCGATAGACCGGCGTCACGCCACCGAAGGGGGGGGGCACCGCGCTCTCCAGGTCGGATGGGCCACCAGGCCCCCGTCGACGAGGCGTGGGCGACTTGGGGTCGATGCTTCCCCAACGGAGCCAAATGCCCCCCCCCGTGGTTGCCCCTGATCATTTGAGCAACTCGTCCTCGCTCTCCCACCTGGCCCTCGGGAGCGGGGCCCCCTCGCCGCCGCGGGTCTTGAGGGCCAAGACGGCCGACTGCAACCTCTGCGGCCCACCGGGGGACCTGCAGCTGGGCGGAGGCAAAAAAGGGGAGAGATAGCCCAGTCACGAGCATGACGCGGTCGCCAGGGAGCCTCGTCGAAGACCAATGGGCCATCGGAGCCCCTGGACACACGTGATGATCCCCCGAAGGGCTGTCCGCCCATGCTGCTCACGCAGACACAACCCTCGACAGAATCAACCTCGAAAATGAGTTACCGTCGGACCTGGGCCAAGAACATGAGGCCCGCCCTCGGCCAAAGCACACAGAACATCCGAGGGTACCCTCTACAGGGTGCACCAGAACATCCAACAAGCACGAAGAACATTAGGGCACCCTCCCCGAACCAGCCTCGATCTTGTCCCTCGGTCCGACTGCACGCGATTATTTGCTGTGTATTTGAAATTCTGGGAGTGGGTGGCACTCCGTGCTGCGAAGTACATATGATGGTGCTCCAGCTCCAGTGGAGGTCAGCATGGGAGCTCTTCCGAGAAGTGTCGCCAAGGCCGCGTTTCGCCCTGCTTCGACATTGAAGGGGTGCGATATTGAAGGGACGCCTCGACCCTCTTGCGCTGACTGCCAGTCAAGAGCAGCCGAGAGAGATCGCCATGCCGCCCACGCGTCGGCCAGCGCGGGCCGTCTGAAGAGACGCAGCGCGCTCGCCCAACTTCGCCAGCGGCGGCCCTCTCTGCTCCCCTCGATGATCCTCGGAACGTACGTCCCTTCATGCGCAGCGCAGGCGGATTCTACACGAGGCCCGACGCAGACTGCGTGCTGTCGGTGGAGCCGAACAGGGAAAACACACACACACACATTGGGCCGAGACACGTCTTCAGAGAAAGAGAAAACTGCAGAAGCATCAGATTTGGGGGCTCTGCGCAGATGCCGTGGATCTGCGCCGAACCACACTCCTCCGGCGCCGCCAAGAGGGATCCAGCGCCAGATCCAAGAGATGCACGCGGAGCTCCAAGAGATGATGCGTGTGCTGCTTGCTCTTCTCTGCGAGGCAGGAATTTATCGATACCCACCGCCTGGGAACCGACGTCCTGGTGCCCCAGCGGGCGGTGGAAATGGATACATTGTGGCCCCCGGGGACCCAAAGATGTCCTTCTCTGCCGCCTGCCGAGGTCCCCGAAAATCGATCCTCCAGGCGGTGGTCATGAACAAATTCCCGCCTCGGATTCCTCGACTCCCGAGACCAACCCGCGTCGGGGGCACCCGCTGCGCGTGATCATCAGCGTCCTCACCTTTCCTGCGGGGCGGGGGGCGGCACGCGGGCGGTCGGCACGCGGGGCGCGCACCGCTGGCGAACAAAGGCGGGCAGGCAGGCCAGGGCAGCAGCGCTGGACGGGCAGGGCGGGGACGAGGCAGGGCAGGAAAGCCGAGAGGAGCAGCATGCCAGCCAGCGTGGACCCCGAGCAGTGCCTTGCTGCACTGCGGAAGCGGGAGGCGTGCGGAGTGAGCTGGTGGGTACATGGTGCGAGCTGTGCTGAATTGTAGGCCCTGCGGCCCAAGAGACAGCCACCGGCACAGGGCGAGGCGGCCAGGGCGCGGGGGGAAAGCCGACGGCGGCAGCCGGCCAAGGGGAAGGCCGGAGCCGGCACAGGGAGCCTTTTGGCCAGCCAGGCCAGACAGGGCTGGACCTAAACGATGTTTTACGTTATGTTTTCGTTTTGCCCCACCTGTTTCAGTCGAGCCCCCGCCCGACATAAGAAGCGGGGCGGCCGCCCTGCGGAGCGCTCCAGCGGGCCAGTGGGTCACCTTCTCGATGAGGTCCACCATCTTCTGGTGGCGGGGCTCCTTCCAGTCCTGGGGCGGCCCCCGGCGGAGCGGGACCCGCCGCCCCTGGGGGGGGGGGGAGGGGGGGGAGGACCGGGGGCTCGAGAGTAGCGGCGTTGAGGGGAGGGCAGGACAGGAGGGAGGACGGGCAGGGAGGGCAGAGAGGGAGCGAGGGAGGGAGAAGGGGGAGGGAGGGAGCCTCCAAGCTCCCTCATCGTAGGCTTACGAAGATTCATGCTCACTGCAGAAAGTGCCCCGTTGGGAGACAGCCATTGGAAGATCGTGAAGCATGCCAAAGCACCATTCTCGTAGCTCCAACGCCACGGATCAGCTTGACTGTTGCGTCTTGCAGATTTTAAAACGAATGTGCGCAGCGCTGAAGCGAGAGCCACATGTTGTAAAACAACCACCCTCAACCCGTGAAACTTTTGTCATGTTTGAAAGCGAATGCGCGCAGCACTAAAACGAGAACCACATGTTAAAAACACCTGACCTAAATCCCTGGAACGATTGCAATGCTTCCAACGACTGCGCACGGCGCTAAGGCGAGAGCCAGATTTTGAAAACGACTCGCCTACAATCCGCGAAGCTCTTGCATGTGAAAGCGAATGTGCGTGGCGCTGAGGCGAGAGCCACATTTTGGAAGCGGCCCGCCCTCCATCTCTGAAACTGTTGCCATTTGTTCAGTTCCAAGACAATAAATGGACAAAGTCTCAGACGAAACGCCTGACCCGCCCTTTCGACCAGCCTCGGGGCGCGACATGGTCGAGCAATGTATAAGGAAAGGAATTGAGGAGGAGAAGGAGAAGGAGGGAGGAGGGAGGAGGGAGGAGGGAGGAGGGAGGAGGGAGGAGGAGGAGGAGGAAGAGGAGGAGGAGGAGGAGAAGGAGGAGGGAGGAGGAGGAAGGAGGAGGGAGGAGGGAGGAGCACCGAGGACCGAGATCCTCGGGAGGGAGCAGGGGGGAGGGAAGGGAGCAGGTTTGTGGGAGGGGGCAGTGGCGGGGGAGGGGGGCAGAGGAGGAGGGAAGAGGATCGAGGATCGAGGGTCTAGAATGTGCTCCGCCCTGTGGGGCATTTGGGAGGGTTCTCGTTGCCACGGCTGCACTCCCGTCGAAACTATGGTCGAAACGCATCGTCCAAGTGGGGCCGACTGTTTCGCTGAAGAAGAAAGCGGGAAGAGGAGGAGGAGTATGAGGACCCAAGAGCCAAATGGTTCCGCAAAATCCAAGCAAACTGGGAGACCACGACGACTTATACTATACGCGGTTACCCTTAGCCGCGCGGGTACCCGCTGAGGGGGACTCCCGTTCACGGGTGGCAATGATGGGCCTCAAGATTCCAAGGCCATGGTACGGGCACTGCTGATGGCCCCGTTTACAGGGCCAGTACAACTGGCAAACAAGGGGGGATTGATTGGTGGCGGGCGATCCTCCACAATTCAAACTCGGCGGCGAGCGAGGGGGGAAATGAGAAGGAGAAGGCCTTCTCAAAAGGCGGCGGGACTTCTCAGAAGCCCTCGAGCCTTCTGGAATGTTGTTCTGCATTCGGGAAGGCTCAAACAACTTCTCCGAAGACCGGGGGATGTCCGAACTTTCTGAGAAGGCCTTCACCTTCTCACTTCCCCCCCTCGCTCGCCGCCGACAAACAGTACACACATGGCCCCTCTCGTGGCCATATTTACCATGGCCACGAAGGCGCACGACATGCGGCAGGCGCACGACATGCGGCTCAGCACCAATGGGCACAGCAGGCGCCTGCGATGGGGCGCGCCGCGGAGCCACCACCGCGAGCAGACAGGCCGCCGTCTGGCCCAGCACCAGTGGCGGCCTCCCCTGATGACCCAGCCCCCCGATCGGGGGCGCGCAAACATGGATTAGCGATCCATGGATTCGGCGCGGGGTCGCAAATCCATGGATCGGGGGAGGTGCCCTCCCCAGAAGGCTGCCAGTGCCGCCTCGTTCGGCGGCGAAAGTCCGCGATTTCCCATGAAAATGGGACCCGGCGCTGATTCACGCCCCCTTGATCCACGTTGGCGATCGCCTGCTACAGGGCCAGTACAACTGGCCAACACAATGGGGGATTGCTTGGTGGGGGTCGATCATCCACAGTCCAAACAATACACACATGGCCCCTCTCGTGGCCATGCTTGCCATGGCCACGACGGCGAACGACATCCGGCGCAGCACCAAGAAACAGACACCGCAGGCGCCTGCAACGGGGCGCGCCGCGGAGGCACCGCCGCGAGCAGACCAGACAGGCAGCCACCTGCTGGCGGCGCGCAGAGGGGGGCAGCGGGAGGAGGGAAGGCCTCTTAGAAAGAGGCTGCTTCTAAGAAGGCGCCGGCCTCACATCTGCAGAGAAGGCCCGCGCCTTCCGAGAAGCAGGGGTGCTTCTGAGAAGCCTGCCCCCCCCCAAAGTGCCCTCCTCTGCGCGGGGCCGAGTCTGGCCTGGCACCAGCGGCGGCCTCGCCAGGCGACCCAGTGTCCCCCCGAGCACCCTGCACGAAGGAGCCCACGGTCCAGCAGCCGAGGACGATCCCCCGCAGCGGGCCCAAAAAGAAGTGGTCGGCGACACGCGCAGCGCGACTCGGAGAGCCTCGGACCGAGCGGGGAGGGGAGCGGAGGACGAGCGAGGAGCAGGGGAGCCTCGCGCTCGCGCTCGGGCCACGGGGGCGGCCTGGAGCGCAATCCCGACGCGCACGCCCCCGCTTCTGCAGCCCAGCGAGCGAGGCGGGCGTCGCAGCAGAGGCAGCGCAGACGCTGCAAGACCACGCCGCCCCACGTCGCACGAGCTCGTGGCGGGCGTAAGGATGGGTGGTAAGGACGCAAGACCCTTGGAGGCCGAAGTTGGGATTTGTTGGGGCGGCGGGCGACCAGTATAAACGGCCAGGGCCGCAGAAGCAAGGACAGAAGGGCACCCTGAATGAAGGCGCCCGTCCTTACCAGGCGCGTCGACTGCACAGGTCCAACACCAGCTCTGCGTCGCACGCTCGCGGGCACCTGCTCAAACGCCCCTCGGGTCGGACGAAAGGGTGGGGGGGGGGGGGGGGCGACGGGGGAGGGCACGAATCCGCTCGCGTAGCCGATTCCTCCCGCGCCTCCTGGCGCAGGAGGCGCTCGAAGGAAGGCGCCGGGCGGCGCAGACGGAACCAGCTGCGTGCAGCAGATGTCGTACCCCCCCGCTGCCCTACCCCTCCCTATCGTCCGACCCGATGAGCGCGCGGAGTCCTGGCGGCGCCCACATGGGGCCGGCGCGAGGGGGGAGGCCTCCTAAGACGACAGGGGAGGAGGAGGAGGAGGAGGAGGAGGAGGAGAGAGGAGGAGGAGGAGGAGGAGGAGGAGGAGGAGGAGGAGGAGGAGGAGGAGGAGAGGAGGAGGAGGAGGAGGAGGAGGAGGGAGGAGGAGGAGGAGGAGGAGGAGGAGGAGGAGGAGGAGGAGGAGGAGGAGGAGGAGGAGGAGGAGGAGGAGGACTTCTTGGGAGCCCTCCCGGCTTCCAGGAGGCCTTCCCGGAGACCTCCGGGCCGACCCCCTCGCGCCACGCCGCCCTTGGTGGTGAGCGCCGCAGGCAGTGGGTCTCCTGGGGGGCCAAGAGGGCAGCACTGACACCAACTGTCGGCTCCGCAGGCGCCCCTCCCGCGGCATGAGAAGGCACCTCCCCCCCGCGCGCGCCAGGTCCAGCGCCAGCGAAGGAGAACCGCCCGCGGATGTCCTGAACTCTCGTGCTTGCGTCGTTTATTGATCACCCAGACCTCCAACACACTGAGAGAAGAAAAACTGTGCGGAGGTGTTTCGCCACTTTCGGGTCCTGAGGGCCCTCAGCGGGGATCCCGCACTGAAAAAAACAAAAAACTGTATGACCTCCGTGCCCCTAGGGCGGCTTCACGTCGCGATGGCGTCGGCGTTGCTGACTGACACCCTGCGGATCGTTCAATCTGGAATCTTCGCGGTGTGTCGACAGCGTAGATCGTTCGATGTCGGCATGTTCGAGCGCATTGTTTTATTCGCTGCTATTCGCGGCCAAAACGGGCGTCACGGGGGGGAGCGGGGGGGGACGGGAGGGGGTATAACGTAGCCCCCCCCCCCAGACTGCGGTGCTGGACGCACTGCGGCAGTGCCGGGGACGCACTAAGGGGGGAGCGTTACGTTATAGGGGGGGGGGAGGCAAGCTAGGTGCGCTCGCGTCATATCTGACGTCCTACCCCTCCCTCCCATCCCTTACCATGGCGCTGATTTTCTCTATCCGCGGACGCGTGTCGTAGCGGACCTGTGGCTCCGCGCGCGCGTGCGTAGTGGGTGGTGGTGCACGTGCGTGCGTGCGTGCGTGTGTGCGTGGTTGTCGTGGTGGTAGTGGGTGGTGGGTGGTGGTGGTGGTGGTGGTGGTGGTGGTGGTGGTGGTGGTGGTGGTGGTGGTGGTGGTGGTGGGTGGTGGTGGTGGTGGTGGTGGTGGTGGTGGTGGTGGTGGTGGTGGTGGTGGTGGTGGTGGTGGTGTGGTGGTGGTGGTGGTGGTGGTGGTGGTGGTGTGGGTGGTGGTGTGGGTGGTGGTGGTGGTGGTGTGGTGGTGGTGGTGGGTGGGTGGTGGTGGTGTTGGTACTGGTGCTGGTGCTGGTGGTGGTTGGTGGTGGTGGTGGTGGTGGTGGTGGTGGTGGTGGTGGTGGTGGTGGTGGTGGTGGTGGTGGTGGTGTGGTGGTGGTGGCGGGCGCGGTGGTGGCGGGCGGCGCGCGCGAGAAAAAGGCCCGCGCTGGGGCGAGAACGCCATCCTGAACGACGGAGGCCAAACACCGATCCGAAAATGAGGCCCACGCTGCAGCGGGAGCACGATTCGGAACGATTCGGGAGCAGAAATGAGGCCGGCGCCTCAACGAGAGCAGCATTTTGGGAAAAAATGACGCCGGCGCCTCAGCGAGAGTCGTTTCCCAGGATTTCCCGGGAATCCTGTGTAAAAAAACCACACGCGGAGGGTGCGCGGCCATCACCCGGACGCCATCAGGGGAAGAGGGAGAGTATTTTCATATTGAGTAATTGTGGAGGGGGCATAACGCGCGATATGGCCCAGAGGATGAAAAAAAACGCTCACTTCTGAGCCACTGGTGCATTTCGACCTTGAGCGCCAGCGCTGGCGTGACGCGAGCCTACCGTGCCTCATCTCCCGAGCTTCCCCGCTTTCCATTTGCGGTCCTCGAGACCATCGACAATCACCATGCCCCGCCACTTGCTCTGGAACACCTGGCGTTACGGGCCCGGCTGGCTCGCTCTTGGCCCTCCCGATCGACGTCTCATCCTGCTTAGTGGCGCTGGCTGGCGCTGGAAGGCGCCAGTTGGGGGAACCAACAAAAGCCGACGCCCCTAATCCAAGGACCTCTCCTGGGATGCGTTCTGACCAGAATTTCGAAGCGAATCCAGCCGTGGCGACGAGGGCCTCCCAGGAAAGGCCTGAAAAAGCGAGGACTCAGCGACCCCCCCGCCCCACTTGCTCCTGCAACCCCCGCCTCCGCGAGGGCGCCTCTCGTCTCTTTTGGCCCCCTACCAGACCACCCCAGCCCAACCCGAAGACCCAACTTTCGGGTTGGGCGGGTACTGGTTCCACATGTGTTTTGGTCCATACTCTCCGACGCGCTCCCCCCTGGGGAATGGAGGGCAACCTGGGGCCTTCGAAGCGAGTTGGGATAATTTGGTGGGCGGTGACCTTTTGCCAGAGAGGCAGATGGCTGGCTGCGGCGGCGCCGACACGCTAGAGCCTGCGCTTGCGAGTTGGCCGTGGGCTCTGCGCAGGCTGGCACTCGCGGGCAGAGAGGCAGAGATGCGTCTGGCGCCGCCCCGCCTCCAACAGTGGGCTGCTGTCCTGCTCCTGCACATGCCTCCCTCGCCCTCTCCACCTCCTTTTCTTCCTCCTCCTCCTCATCCTCCTCCTCCTCCTCCTCCTCCTCCTCCTCCGCCTCCTCCTCCCCCTCCATTCCGTCTCCTTATAAATAATTTCCCCCTGCCGCACCCAGAGGCCAGTTTTTAGAGCGAGCCGGGCGTTTCGCCTGAGACTTCCTCACCATTTATGACCCTGGAGCTTAAAAAGTGAAAACAGTTTCACAGATGGAGGGCGGGTCGTTTTCAAAAGGTGGCTCTGGCCTCAGCGCCGCGCACATTCGTTTTCAAACTTCGCAAAGAATTTCACGGATTGAGGGCGGTTCCTTTTCGAAATGTGGCTCTCGCCTTCGCGCCGCGCACATTTGCTTTCAAAGTTTGCAAGAGTTTCACGGATTGAGGGCGGGTCGTCTTCAAAATGTGGCTCTCGCCTTCGCGCCGCGCACATTCGCATTCAAAATTTGCAAGGTCTCACGGATTGAAAGCGGGCCGTTTTCAAAATGTGGCTCTCGCCTTAGCGCCGCGCACATTCGCTTTCAAAATTTGCAAGAGTTTCACGGATTGAGGGCGGGTTGGTTTCAAAATGTGGCTCTCGCCTTAGAGCCGCGCACATTCTTTTTCGAACTTTGCAAGAGTTTCACGGATTCCCATGATCAACGTACCAGAAATTGCGTTTGGGAAGGATTCAGGATTATGCGGGCGCAACAATTATGTTGACTCGCGGTGTTGAAATCCCAATAATGGCGTTCTGACACGATTCCTGATCGTCAAGACGCAGCAGTCAGGTTGATACGTGGCGTTAAAATCCCGAGAACAATGTTTTGGCACGCTTCAGGATCTTCAAACGGTTGTCTTCCAACGAGGCAGTTCCCTCAGTGGACATGAACCGTTGTAGGGCCTATGAAGAGGGAGCTTGGAGGGAGGGTTGATTCCAACATCGTTGATGACTCTTGGGTTTACACTGGTCCTCCTCTTGTTCCTCCTCCTCATCCTCCTCCTGCTCCTCCTCCTCCTCCTCCTCCTCATCCTCCTCCTCCTCCCCTTCTTCCGACCCTTCCTAGCATGAAAGAAGCTGGTCCTGAGGGAAAACAGGCCTGAAGTGCTTCGCCGTGTTCACGCCCCTGGGGCCCTCCATGGGTCTCAGGGCCGTCAACAATCGGCTCAAGGCGAAAGGCGGGTCACTGGGCAAGCTCTGGGGTCTGGGACCCGGTTCCTTCAGGACCCCTTTCCTTCCTGGCAAACTTCATCCATCCCGAGATCAACCATGCTCAGATACCCGTCGTACGCGCGGCAATGGGAGGAGTCAATGGTGCACCGTCGAGATGGCGCCCATGTGCTTCTGCCTGGGCATCTTTTTCCTGCAGGCCGCTTGGTTCAGCACACTGGCAGGGCAACAACATGTACGCACTGCGCCATCGTGCTACCATAAGAAATGCGAAATTAGGAACGATGCGGCTTTTCTGGCCACGGTGAGCCTGGGCCACGAGCAGGTGTCTCGATCTAGGTCGATAAGGAGCGGCCCGAGAACCATAGCCCCTCCTGAGCCCCAGGTGGCCCCTGATTCAGAGACGCCCATAACGAGTGTGTCAAAAAAACAGGTGTGATAAAAACAAGTGTGATATCACACTTGTTCGGACCATCTCCGCGCAGACGAGGGGCACAAATCAGGGCAGCCCTTGCCAGCAAGGCTGCGCACCCCGTCCGCCCCCCCCGGTGCCCCTGCCGCCTGGCCCGCGGCACGGCGACGGGCATCGCCTGCACGCCGCCACCGCGAACGCCCGGCCCTCGCCACCGCGAACGCCGACGCGAGCAGGGCCTTGCCAGAAGCGCCCCCTGGCCCGAGGTGTCCCCAGGACTTCCAGGGAGGCCCCCACGGCCTCCGGAGCACCCCCTCCACAAGTCCCGGAGGGCCCCAGGGGGATCCAGAACTGCACGAGAAGCTGGCGGCACCTTCGGCCACGGGGCACCTTCGGCACCCCCCGAGCACGAGATCCGCGCGGACCCCCCAAGAGCTTCACGCCGTGCCTGTGCCGACTCCTCAAAGCTCGGACCTGGGGGGGCGGCGCCCCGCTGCCACTGCCGAGGCCACCCGAGGTGGGAAGCGGCCGGGGGCTCTGCGCCGGCTGGGCGCCGAGACGCCCGGCCAGGAGTCAAGGGTCGGCGGCGAGCGGGGGGGGAGAGTGAGAAGGGGCGGGCCTTCTCAGAAGGCTCGGAAGTCCTCGGGCCTTCTCAGAAGGCCCGGGGACTTCTCAGAGGCCTTCCCCGAAGGTAGAAAAAGCTTCTCGGAAGGCGCGAGGGTTTCCGAGAAGTCCCGCCGCCTTCCGAGAAGGCCTTCTCCTGCTCACGACCCCACCTCGCTCGCCGCCGAGTCAAGGGGGAAGGGGGGGGGGGCGAGGGCAACTCCGCACAAGATCGGCACCCCGGACCCCCCACCCAGGGTCGAAACGGACCAGCTTCTCGAGCGGCGTCCAGCCGTGGCGACCACGGGGCTCCGCCCTTCCTACCAGGACCAAGACTGAACACGGAAACGCCGTGTCGATCTTGGTCAGCGCTAATCTTGCTCAGCGTCGATCCCTGGATACTCCTCGCGAATCAGTGACGGCAAACGTGGACAATGACCAAAATCGGCACCGGCAGGATCCCGCGGCATCTTGGTCATGACCCCCGCGCTTCTCAACTGCTGGCCAGAACCCTGGCTGGGCCACCTCGGCCGCCCAAGCCGGCAACAAGCCTGAGGTCCCCGAAGGTCCCCAAGGGTCCCCAGAGGCCTCCGCCCAGCGAAGGGCACCCCCGTCCACACCGTGCGGCCAAGCTAAGTGCTCGCTCCTGGGGCCCTCCACGTCGTTCGAGGGGAGGCGGAGGTGCCGACAACGGGTCGGCCTGCACAGAGGGGGGGGGGGGGGGGCAACGCATGGGAGGACTTCGCAAGAACGATTGTAAGGCGAAGCCAGGACGAGGAAAAAGTAGGGCGAGGATCAATCGAGAATCTCTGAGATCCAGCAGCTCTGGAGGATATCTCGGGCGCCGCGGCCTTCTCGGAGCGTTTCAGAACGCTCTGGAACGGATTTATCCTCGTCCTAGCCCTAGCCCCGTCCGACCAAGCCCCATTCAGGGCCACTGAGCCGGATTCAGCGGGATCGAGCCCAGAATCACGCCCACGATGAGCCAGATGAAGTCCAGGATCAGACAGGATTGAGCGGGGCCACGGCGGACAGGGCCTGCCTTCGACCACGGATATAATCCAGCGCCAATGCTCAGCTCGACCTCCCATGAACTGCGTCCCACGCACATGGGGGCGAGGCGAGCCGATCAGCACCAGGAGGCCAGAGGCACACGTGGCCGACCTCAAAAACACGGAGCAGCCGCAGGCCACGCGCCGGGCACGACGTGCGGCTCATGAGCCTGGCGTGTGCCCGGCCACAGAAAAGGCCGCGAGCGGGAAAGACGCCTGGCCACGTGCGCATGCCCAGGCATCCTCGGACATGGCTTTTGCAATGCGCGGTCCCAGAGCGCCCGACCCCTTCCACGGGGGGGTAACTCGTCCTGGGCCAATGCTTGGTCCCGCAGCCCGATAATCGGGGGCGCGCAAACATGGATTAGCGATCCATGGATTTGGCGCGAGGTCGCCAAATCCATGGATCGGGGGAGGTGCCCTCCCCAAAATGCGGCCGGTGCCGCCTCGTTCGGCGGCGGAAATCAGCGATTTCCCATGGAAACGGGACCCGTCGCTAATCCACGCCCCCCTTATCCATGTTTGCGACCGCCTGAGATAACGGGCCCGGCAGGCCGAAACCGAGGAAGAACGCACTGACTCACAGATCCGATCATCGGAGGTCTGGGTCCAGCTCTTGCCCGGGCTGGCCGCGCCGTGTGAGCGACGAACAAGAAGCTGGTGTTACGCGACGCGCGTACGTACGCACGCACGCACGCACGCACGCACGCACGCACACACGCACACACGCACACACACACACACACACACACACACACACACATGTTTCCTTCTACGTGCTGCTGGGACCTGTCCGAGGGTGCGCTCTGACCAGGATTTCAAAGAGAATCCAGCCGTGGCGATGGGACGTGCCTTCTCCTCCCCCAGCACACACGCACGCACGAGAGCACGCGGGCACACGCACCCGCACACGTGCGCTCAAATGTACTCGCGCACACCTAGGCCATCACCATCACAGCCGCCCCCCCGGCGGTCTGAGCTTTGCCGTCGAGGCCGTGGGGCGCTTTGTTGGTGGCGGACCTCGCGGCGGCCGGGGAGGCGCGGGCAGAGGGGCACTGCGCTCCGCGTGTTCCTAGCGCGCTGGAAAGACATCCTGGCAGCCCTGAGACATGCCCCGACCAGACCAACAAGATCACGCACCACACCGTGGCAGCCAAGACTCTTAGAAGGCAACTCCTGGGAGGTCTTCGCAAGAACGATCCAGGCTACTAGGCTCGATTCAGGAGCCACCCGGCCAGACTGGCCCAAAATTCGGTCCAGGACTGAGTTCGACTGAAAACCAGATTGAGCGGCATCAGGCGGAATCAAGGAGGAGTCTTCTGGAACAGTTAGGCCACTCTGCGAACCCGGATATGCCAGCGCCGATGCTGGACGCAGCCTCCCAGAACCTGCATCCTGACAACCAATCGGCGGCGCGCCTGCGGGGGGAGCGAGACGGGGCGGGCCCTCGCAGAAAGCTTGGAAGTTCCCCGGCCTTCGGAGAAGTGCTCTAGACAAACAGTTCCCGAAGTCAACGAAAACTTCTGACCAGGCAGGAGGGCTTCCGAGAAGCCCCGCTGCCTTCTGAGAAGGCCCGTCCCCTCTCGCTTCCCCTTCCGGCGCGCCGCCGAGGAGGAGATAGGAGAGAGGAGGAGGAGGAGGAGAGAGGAGGAGGAGGAGGAGGAGGAGGAGGAGGAGGAGGAGGAGGAGGAGGAGGAGGAGGAGGAGGAGGATGGGGCCTTCTCCTTCTCGCTTCCCCCCTGGCTCGCCGCAGCAGTAGCGCGCGCTCTGCGCGTGCTGCCGCCGAGAGCTCCTCGCCCCGAGGGCGCGCCGGGGCCCGCTCGGAGAGGAGGCGGCGCCAGCGACAACGAGGGAGTCCCGGCCAGGGGACCCCCTCCGTACAGTTCGAGTAGGAGATCGACTACGGAATTGATTTGCCCCAGGATGGATTTGTCGTCGAATCCACGGGCAATTAGTAGAACTTTCGCAGATCTACGCATGGTTGACGTATTGTTGTTGAAGAGTCGACGTGAAAATCAACTTTGGGGTAAATCAACTCTGTAGTCGATCCCCCAGTCGAACAGTGGAGGCCCGTCCACGGGAAACCTTCCACGAGAAACCCACCCCTGAGACCCCAGGACGTCCACTGAGGCTTGGTGTGGGAACGTCGCGCTTCCACTGGCAGGCCCTCGAAGCCCAAGAGATACCCACGGGCGCCCTGGAGGCAGGCGGGGTGCCTCTCGGCAGGGGTCTCTCCCCTGTAGTCAGATCGGCGGAGCGGGCGGAGCGCGCACGCTCCGCGCCGCGCCGCTCCGCCCCCACCGACGAAGAGCTTTCGGACGGGGCCCCGCGAGCGGTGGCCCCGCTGCCCGAGTGCCGCGGGGCCCCCGCGGGCAGTGCCGCGGGGGCGTGGCGCCCGAGGGGCGGGAGGCCGCGGGCGATGCCCTGCGCCGTCTGCCCGCAGGGCCCCCCCCCCCGCGGACGGGGCCGCGGGGCGCGGGACTCTGCTGGCCGTGCCGCGGTTCGGCGGCGGCTTCGCGGCGGGCGGCGAGCCCCCAGAGGGGAGGACCTCGGATGGCTTTCAGGGCCTCCCCCGAAGGCACTTCTTCCGCCGCGGCGCGGAAGAGAGGCGGTCCGCACGCGCGCTCCTCCAGGAGGCCGGGAGCGGGCGAGCCGACTGTCCGGCTGCAAGAGGGAAGCAGGAGGCGGAGGGCGACCACGGACCCCTTCTCCTCTGGACGCCCGAAATGGGCACGGAAAACGTGGGCACGATGCCCAACAACAAGTGTCGTCCCAAACCAACAGCGGCCGCTGTTGGGCAGGCGGCCTTCTGTCTCGAATGGACACAGGCCGCGGCGGCGCGGACAGCGAGTCCTGCTCAGGATGAAGAGGGACTGCTGTTGGGCATTGTACCCATTCTTTCCGTACCCATTTCGTTCGTGCCGATCTCCAGAGACACTGGCGGCGAGGGCTTCTGAGAAGCTCCTCCTACGAAGGTATGCCCCCTCTCACTTCCCGCCCAGACGCGAGGCAGGTGAGACCTGCCAGAGGCCGCGGGGGGGGGGGCAAAAAAGAGGATCGAACCTGTGTTGCGACACCTTCGGCCCTTTCCCGGTTTCTGGAGGCCTCTGCCGGCATCTGGGGGAATCTCCAGAGATCTCGCGCGCATGTGTTAATCAAATACACATTCATATATAAACAGAAACTGAAACTGAAACAAAGGCGTGCATTACCTAGGCATAGAACGCATAAGCGAAAATTGGCGCCTCCTTCTCCTCCTCCTGCTCGTCATCCACCTCCTCTCATCACCACCACCCCCACAACAATCATCACCACCACCGCCATAACTACCACCACCACCATCATCCTCATCACCAATGTCATCCTCGTCATCATCAGCGTCATCATCATCATCATCATCATCATCATCATCATCATCATCATCATCATCATCATCATCATCATCGTCTTCCTCATCAGCAGCAGCATCACCATCATCATCATAATCATCATCATCATCATCATCATCATCATCATCATCATCAACAGCATCAGCATCATCATCACCATCACCATCACCATCACCATCACCATCACCATCACCATAATCAGCATCATCGTCATCATCATCATCATCATCATCATCATCATCGTCATCATCATCATCATCATCATCATCATCATCATCATCATCATCATCATCATCGTCCACCTCCTCCTCATTCTCCACCTCATCATCGTCATCATCATCAGCAGAATCATCAACGGCAGCAGCAGCATCATCCATCCATCCATCCATCATCATCATCATCATCATCATCATCATCATCATCAGCAGCAGCAGCAGCAGCAGCATCACCATCATCATCATCATCTTTAGCATCAGCATCAGCATCAGAATCAACATCAGCATCATCAGCATCATCATCCTCCTCATCATCATCGTCATCATCCTCCTCGTCATCAGAAGCATCAACAGCAGCAGCAGCAGCATCCATCCATCCATCCATCCAGCCTTCCATGCGTCCATCCATCCATCCATCCATCCATCCATCCATCCATCCATCATCATCATCATCATCATCGTCATCATCATCGTCATAACTACAATCATCAGCATCAGCATCAGCATCAGCATCAGCATCACATCATCAGCGTCATCATCATCATCATCAGCAGCAGCATGAGCATCCGCATCATCATCATCATCATCATCAGTATCATCATCATCACCACCACCACCATCATCATCATCATCATCATCATCAGCATCAGCATCATCATCATCATCATCATCTTTATCATCAGCATCAGCATCGTCATCATCGGCGTCATCATCATCATCAGCATCACCATCGTCAGCGTCATCATCATCATCATCGTCACCGTCATCGTCATCGTCATCGTAATCGTAATCATCATCATCATGAAACCATCATCATTGTCATCATCATCAGCAATATCAGCAGCAGCAGTATCATCAGCGTCCCCACTTGCATCATAATCTTCAACAAATACTACAGCAACATCAACGTCATCATCAGCAGCAGCATCATCATCATCGTCGTCATCACCGGTATCATCAATAGGATAGTCGTGTGTATCATTATCATCAATGGCATCATCAACATCAACATCAGCATCAGCATCATCATTATCATCATCTGCAGCATCAGCAGCATCATCCTCATTATCAGCATCGTCGCCATTATCATCATAACCACCAAAGCCATCATCATCATCATCATCATCAGCAGCAGCAGCATCATCATCAGCCTGTCCGCTCAGCAGCATCATCATCCTCATCAGCATCGCCATCAGCATCAGAAGTGTCGGCCACATCATTGCCATCACCCTTATCAGTATCGAGTCGTGGCCATCGTCATTATCGTCATCATCGTCAGCATCGTCATTGACATCATCGTCATCGTCATCGTCATCAACAGCACCAACAACATCACCAGTCTCATCATCATCATCATCATCATCATCATCATCATCATCATCACCATCACCATCACCATCACCATCACCACCATCATCATCATCATCATCATCACCATGACCATCATTACCATTAGCATCATCAGCATACTAATCATCGTCGACGCCATCGTCATCATATCATCACGATGTCGTAGCATACGTCCTCTTCAACAAACGCATTACCTCCCCTTCCTCCTCGTCATCCTCCTTCACCTCCGCCTCCTCCCCATTCACCCTGCCCCCACTCTTAAGGGGGGCTCCAGGATGAACCGATAACTGCCCAGATTGCCTCCAAAGAGGGGCACGATTGCCCGCAGGAGTATTCCAAGATGACTTCGCAGAAGCCCCCGAGCCTCCCAGGGGAGGACGAGGAGGAGGAGGAGGAGGAAGGAGGAGGAGGAGGAGGAGCATAAGGTGCTTCTCTGACTGCTTTGCGCCGCCTCGCCCTCTCGGCTCCCGACGGGGGTCTCGGAGCCAAGAGATGGCCCCGAGGTGTCTCCCTCCCTCGTCTGGCATCTCGCTCACACCTCGCCTCCTTGGTCCGTCCTCCCTCCCTTCCTTCCGCACCCCTCCTTCCTCTTCCCTCCTGTCTCCGAGACCCCCTCCTCCCTCCTCCTGCGACTCGCTCACAGCGTGGACCACCCCAAAGGTCTCCACCCCTTCCCTGAGGCCAGCCTTTCCACACCCTGAGTCGTTGGTAAGGGCGCGCAGGCAGAAGGTCGCGCGGTTGGCAACCCTTCGGAGATACCGAATTCGGGAATACCGAAGATGGAGCGCCCCACGACTGTGAAGCAGGAAGCCCAAAATTGAGGGGGGCGGGGGGATGGGTGGGGGGAGGATCTAGAGTGCTTCACGACGCGAGGGCGCCTGGCTTCCTCTCTCCTCCTCATGCTGCATCTTCTCGGGGGACCTCGCCTGCCAAGTCGCGCCACAGGTCCGTGCCGAGTCCGCACAGAATCCACGTCGAACGCGTCCAACCCGCGTGGAACCCGCGTTGCACCCACGTCGGAGCACAAGAGAAGACTGCCATCTGAGCGACGAGCAGAAACGGGTCTCGCGCAAGAAGACATAGCGACCTCACGCGGTGGCTCACGAAGTGGCTTCCAGCGCGGCACGCCACATTGAGAAACGAGGGCGCCTGCGCACCGGGTTGACGCGGAAGCTCACACGCAACCGTCCGCGCAGTCGCACCCGCTTCTCTGCGTCGCTCACTTACTTCACAGGCCTCCCAGATGGGAGGCCTAGAGCCTTACAGGACAGGAGAGGTCTAAGACGAAGCCAAGACGAGGATAACATCGGGTGAGGATGAATGCAGAATCTCTGAGATCCGGCGGCTCTGGAAGATGTCTCGGGCGCCGCGGCCTTCTCAGAGCGAGAGCGTTCCAGAACGCTCTAGAACGGATTTGCCCTCGTCCTAGCCCCGCCCGACTAGACCCTTACAAGACAGGAGAGGTCGCCCAAAGAAGATGCGAAGTATCCTTCCACCCGGAGAGGAGCTGCAAAGAGAGAGAAGGGGGCGGCGCGCGCGACTTGCCGAACAAGGGCGAG